GCCGGCGCGGCGCTCATATCTACTTCGCAGACGACACTGCCCTATACTGTAAAGGTTTCTCGCTACCTTTCATACGGAAGAAGATCCAAAAGTCAGTTGATGACCTAGGATCTTGGTTCCAAAAATGGCGCATCGATGTGAACCCGGAGAAGAGCTCCGCCGTTCACTTCGATTATAAACGACGCCGTCTCAAAAACACTCCACCAATACCCCTGTCCCCTGGCATACGTTTGCCAAATATTTAGGCGTCACCCTTGACACAAGGCTCACTTTCAGGCCGCATGTCAAAAGAGCAACCCGTCACACACGTTTTTACCTGAGTAGGCTCAATAGTATGTTGGGCCGACACACTAAAATGTCCCTCAGAAACAAACTTACCATTTATAAGGTCTGTATACGACCAGTCATGTCCTACGCGGGACCCTAAAATTATTAATGAACTCCAAGTAGTTCAAAACCTTTTCTATCGTCGAGCTGCGAACGCACCTTGGTACGTCCGTAATGCCGACCTTCATCGGGACTTAGAGCTCCCTACAATCCAACAATTCCTAAAAAAACTCTCTGAGAACTTCTTCAAAGCCTCAGAGTCGCATTCCAATCATTTTATTCGTGAGGTAGCTACTTATGCAGCCCCACCTCGCTATCGAGTCCGCAGGCCGAGAAACTTTCTCTCGGACCCGCTAAATAAAATTTCAACCGACCTGAACTGCCTCCTGGCGGCTCAGGCCGATTCTTCTTAAATTTGCCAAAGTAGGCTCTTCCTCAGCGGCTCTTTGTAGCCGCCTGCGCCCTCTTCTCCCAAAAGAGTTAAACACCTGCTCTACACGATGGCCATCGTTGTTGGCCAACACATTCGCCAGTATGTTGGCCAACGTGAAGAGCCGCCTTAAAGCGCAGTCAGTCTGTGCTTGCGTGCGGTGCGTGATATTAGAGGGACGAGACGTGAACTACTACGTATACGTACTAGCCCTCGGCCAGGGTAGTCGGCGACGGCCCGTACCACGCTCCGCGCGCCTCTCAAGGCCCCCGCACACATCCAGACACTCACACATAGCCGCAAGCGATTTTACGTGCACACATGCTTAAGTATCGTTTCTTTTCGCGTAGTGTATATTTTCTTTGTCGAGGGCGAGTTACCTGTGGTGGTAAAGAAATCCGAAACAACACGACCGTTATCATGGCATTATGGACTGTTATTATCGTAATTTTTAAGATTAAAAAGAAATAAATAGTAATAATATTATAAAGAATTGCTTACATATGAAAGGTAACGAACGCCATCCTTTTGTAAATTTGACGTGTTCGATCTCTTATTGCAGCAAAAAACTAAACAATTTGGCATTTTTGTAGGAGGTCTATTCAGTGGCGCAACTAAATTTAGTCTAGTAAGTTGTGCCGTTGCAACTAGTTTTATTGTAAACATGGGTCGCCGTGTCATAAATGGACTTTAACTTTGGCATAGCGGAACGACTGCGTATGGCTCCTCCCGACCGGTACATCGGCGGCCCGTGTTGCTTTATGAAGCGATCATGTCAATCGTTTTCGAAATCAAGTGATATTGATTATTTTACATTGCAAATATTCTTGTCTCAAACTTTAAAAGCTAATATTTTTATGATATATAAATTTAGACGGTACATAAGTGAATTGGATCCCAATTTTATATGCTCATTGGTGGAAAAGAAATTCATCCATAATTTCGAAATCATGAAGTGAAGGCAGGATCTTGATAATGCCGTGTAGGGGCGGTATAAGAGAATCAACTACCTTATAGTAATTTAGAAGTTCAAAGACCGCATAACTTCCCGTGAGTATCATAAAAGCCGACAGAGGGGAATGAAACACAAGGTAGGCAGCAGTAGCAAAACCGATGTTTTTTATTACATTAGACAACCATACAAAAAATATTTCAAAGGCATACTTGGTTACAGGTTTATAGTTAATTCTGTGAAATCCATAATACCTAACGACATAATTTATTATACCACGGTAGTGCAAAATTCCACATTTTTCGACTATAGTACGTGAGTCTATAGTCGAGTAGTTGGTGGTAGCCTTGTTTGCATAGACGACTCTGTTATACGATAGTTCTTCATCAGTCATTTAAATAATAAAGAGTCAAAAGTTCTTAATATATTAGTTATAGTATACATAGTATACGATTGTGTATTTGTCTCTGTCCCCCTCCTCCAGTTTTAGTTTTATAGGGCGGCAAAGCTTAAGGTGACCATATTACCCTCACGTACCTTACGTTTTGTTGTAAGATGTCAGATGAAGCTTCTATTAACGTTCATTGGTAAGTATTATAGGAAAAGGATTAATCAAAAACTCTTATTTTAGTAAGTCATAGACTAAATTAATTTATCGTGAACTGCCTCCTGGCGGCTCAGGCCGACTCTTCTTAATTTGCTTTAGTTAGGCTCCCTCTCAGCGGCTCCTCGCCGCCTGCGCCCTCTTCTCCCAAAAGGGGGTCGCTTCCGATTCGGTAGAAAGGCCTCATAAGGTCTCACAGGCGGTGTTTAGTGGGTAGGCACTTAGGTTAGGTTAGTCGCAGTGAGTCCCAGATAACCATGGCAGCCGGCTGTCGTGGTATGCTTAGAGCATTCACCACCTCCTTCCTCGTTTTCCGGGGGTAGCCCTTTTCAATTACTTCTGGGTGCAAAAAAAGTCGACGTTTTTTTTTGTTTCGCTAATAGCACATCAATAGAGGTCTCTATTGAATAGAAAAAAGCCAACAACCTTTTAAAAGAAAGAAGGTGAGAATAATATAGCCATCTTATTTTGTACCACGTATACTCCGCCAAATCCACTGACATCACATCTAAACCAATCGTGTAGAACTCACTGTAGTTAAAACTAGTTTTAATAGATGGCGCTAGTTGTATAATACGGAAAAAACGAGTCAGGCAAACGTTCGGACCGTGTTTTTATATTTTACAACAATGACGAATTAATTGTTTTTCTCGGAATTACAGTTGACGCGAAGCCACAGAATAAATAATAGTACTACGTAGCAAAGCTTCAGTGGGACATCCATATATTTTAAACTAGCTTTCCCCGCGACTTCGCCCGCGTTTAATTTATTACGATTGGATTTCATGGTTTTTTTTTTTGCGCATAACCCATATTATTTTTCTAAAATAAAAGTAGCCTAATTTACTCCTTATACCACCAGTTACCTGCCAGTGAAAGTCCCGTTAAAATCGGTTCAGCCATTTCGGAGATTAGCTGGAACAAACAGACAGACAGACAAAATTTTTAAAATTGTGTTTTTGTAGTAGTATCGTATATACTTTCATATGTATTTAGTAAAAACCTGTTATTTTGACATTACAAACAGACACTTCATTTTTATTTATTTGTATAGATGTATAGACTAGCTAGTATATTTCTATGGGGTAGGTAATGCTTATACGGCTGATATTTAAACTATTGTAGTTTTGGAGCAGCCATAAGAGCAATTTATAACCTAAGTCCGAAAAAGACTTGAGAAAAATTTTAAGAAACATACAGGTACATTTTTGGGCTTCTGAGTATATTTTCTGTTACCGTTATAGCTTATTAAAGTCCACTGATGAACATAGGCCTCACCAATGGATTGCCGCACAGGGGAGATATTTATTACAGTGGGCAAACGGGTTGGCAACCGCAGTTTTTATTTTTATTTTTAGTCGTTACTAGCTGTTCCCCGCGACTTCGTCCGCGTGTTATTTGGAGTTTTAATTTTTTTTGCGCGGAACCCTAATTCTTTTTCTAAAATAAAAGTAGCCTAAGTTTCGCCTTATACCACCAGCTACCTGCCAGTGCAAGTCCCGTCAAAATCAGTGCAGCCGTTTCGGAGATTCGCCGGAACAAACAGACAGACAGACGGACAGACAGACAGACAAAAACTTAAAAATTTAAAGTTATATTAGTAAAGTATTTACTTTCACGACACTCTTACGACACCCACGGGTTGATATGGGCAATTGGTTATTCTTAAACCGCCGGTAGCCACCGCCGCCAGGCAGTGGCCTAGTATACTTACTTAGGTTAGTTTAATGTATGTGCACGAAAACAAAAATAGTTGTTAAAATTGTGATGTACATTCTGTCAATTCTAGGAACGAACATAAACTAATAACAATATAGTTGCTCTACTCCCAAGAGTTGGTAATTCCTTCATGGGGAAATTTATACGCTTTTACAATAAAGACCCAGAAAATATGTAGTTGCAATTTTTTTTATTCATGTTATGACATATAATGCAATTAATAGAAACCAGTTATTTCGTTATTATTAACAGACACTAATTTTATTTATATGTAGGTATTTAAATTAATATTTAAAAAAAAGTCCCGCTGGCTTTTTTACTGGTTCTTTCTAGGATAGAGATTTTTTCCGAAGCAGTAGCTGTTGCTGTGTTTCATATGGTGACGATTACAGACTAATATGAGTGACGATAACGAGAGCTGGCGACCATTTATATTGTTAACAAAGGTTACTATTTTAGGTCTCGGGGATTAAAACGCGTCTGCTCTTGATTCTTAATCGATGATAGATAAAGTTGTTAATCAGAAACAACATCCATTTATGAATATACACACCTTCGAACTCAACGCTTTTCCACTGTGATACAGAGCCGTCAAGTAATATGGCGGTAGATTATAATAAAATGCTATTGATATAAAATAAACTATATTTTACTATACAACATAACAGAAGAGAATATAAATATAATAATATATTTACAAATATAATAATATATTACTTATTAATTTATAAAAAATTTGTAATTTGTAAAAATTTTAACTTGTATTCATATTTGAACCACAGCAAGAGAAAACTGTTGTTATTTACAAAAAATCATTTTTGAATTTTTTTATTTATTATAATAAGTTTAATTTGGAATTGTATCTCTGGACAGCACATTAAATAAATATTTGTTTACCTATCGGATAAAATGAAGTTCGACAACCATTTTTTTTTTTGCTTTTTGATTTGAATAATAATATATAATAATTATGCCACATGATTTTTTAATTCAAACTCGTTTACGCGATCATTTATGACACCTTTTCTTTTGTACGAGTTCTTCCAAATCTCGTAAAAACACACTGTTGCTTGAAACCTGTAGCAAACGAGCAGTGGCACCGACACGTGTGTTATAAGTGTCCAGGCCCATACTCCAAAAAACTCCATCTGTAAAACATTGAAATGCTCATAACTTAGCTTATCTCTTAAATTTAATTAAACATGTTACGATACGATAATGAGAGTCTCATCAGATACTACATGTTATAGTCAAACTGTTTAATCAGTGTAATGTTTGGACAATGCAATAAATTAAGACTCATTGATGCAGTTTAATAACTCTCTCTTTATTGATTTGGAGGAGACTTATATAGTATAGTAATTGTGACGTAGGTACATATGTAGGGGGTAGGGTTTGTGTTACGTGGTTCGTGGTTCCAGGTAGAGCCACATGAATGGTATCTTCTTCTATTAATATAATATGATATTACTGAACTAAATAGATATTATTTCTACTCCTTATATGGAGTCCACTTTGAGTGATGATATCATTCAATATTCCAGTTATATTGCTTTGTCATAGTACCTACACCACAGCAGTTTTTAGTAGTTTTGTAATAGAAATAAGATAAAAGAATATTAACACCACCAACTTCCTGATTCCAGGCTGTTACTGAGAATTGCTTGATAGAAAAACACATTGATTTTAGCCTAATCCGGGATTTAAACCCCGGGTTTACGAGTTACGACAATTCGACAAACGAGGCAGTTAGAATATAATAGTAATAGTAATGTAACGGTACCTGTAGAGGATGATATTCTGCTCGGGCGTTCTTCACACGATTAAGTAGCCACAATGCGAAGTTGCCAACGAGGAGAAAAGTTACTAATTGTCGTCCTGGTCTTCTTCCATGTCCTGGCGCTGATCGTCTCGACCATCCGTCTAATACCAGTAACGTTTGGCAAGAGCTTTGTATCACCGCACATAGCGGAGATATGATCCTGTTAAAATAGTAATTTTGTTTTTGTATAATTGTACTCATGTATTTTGTATAATTGTACTCATGTATTTTGTATAATTGTACTCATGTATTTTGTATAATTGTACTCATGTATTTTGTATAATTGTACTCATGTATTTTGTATAATTGTACCTACTCATGTATCAATAAGATTTGCTTTTTCTCAATAACGCGAATGAATAGGTCAATCGTTACGGCGACGTAGTAATCTTTTGGCTCCTTTCATATTATAATGCTGACAAAATACATTTAAATATGTTTTTATTTTATTTATTTATTTATGAACAAGTTACAAATAACATCTTATAATAAAGCAAAGACATGGATCTTACCACCTCACTATAACGTTATATATTTAAGTAAATAGCTAATACAAATCCAAATTTAAATGTGACAAACAAAAACATGGATCTTACCACCTCACTATAACGTTATATATTTAAGTAAATAGCTAATACAAATCCAAATTTAAATGTGACAAACAAAAACATGGATCTTACCACCTCACTATAACGTTATATATTTAAGTAAATAGCTAATACAAATCCAAATTTAAATGTGACAAACAAAAATACATTTCGAGTTGTGATAATAGTCTTAAAATAAGAAAAGTTAATGTTCTACCCTCCGTACTGGTTTGCATGACTGTACATATATTACGGCAGGCGTAGTCATCTTCCTCAAGGGCAACAACAATAATTATCACGTCACTCATGACGCAGTGTATAATGTAAGCAGAACTATACGAACTTTCATTTTATATTAATTCCCAATTATTTTTATGCCACTAATAATAAAATGAATAGAAAATATAAGCAAACAAGTTTGTTTAATTTCTGATATTGCTTAGTCGTATTATAGTATAATATTAAATATTATTACATGAGAGTTTTGGCATTCGATAGAGCTTCAAATTGTGAAAAAGACTGGTGTATAAAAGTGATTTTGCCTAAAGTGACACATAAGAGGTCTTAAAGTCGCAACGACATTTTGTTTTATTGATAATCTTGTTTTTATTTTTTAAAATTTTTTTTGTTAGGTATATAAGAATGGTCCTAATGGTGTAATATTATTTTATGAATAACTATCGATTCAGCCCGGCTTCGCGCGGATCTCGACAACATATACATTTATTATACATACAAACCTTTCTCTTAAATTATTCTATCTATTGATGTAAACCGTACTAAAATTTATTGTGTCGTTTAAAAGATCTAAGCGTACTGACGGTGGGAAGAGACTTCGTTTTATACTATGTCCGAAGGGCGTTCAATGTATTCTTGGTATTAAGGTGATTTGCTAATAATGTGGATAATTAAAAAAATCATTAGCTAACGACACTACTTGAGGGTATAAATATGAAATTTAGTCTTGATAACTTCATTACTTCTTAATATGTAACCTTCAGTCATAGACGACGGGACGGGAATGACTGACTCGACAATGTTGAAAAAAATCGAATATTGTGCGTTGATTTAATTCGTCACTAAACAAGGAAAAACTCCATGAAAAAATGGTGGCCAACGCTTTGCGTTATGAGGCGTGCAATAGAAAATATCTCATAATTTTTTCTTTTTTTTTTAACATACCCAAACCGAGAATACATTGAACGCCCCTCGTAGAGATACGATTAAATACATTGGCGATTAAATATCTCAGTTTCTGTATAAAATAATACAATTCTGAGAAGAATACATCTAATTCAAAACCTCATATACAATTCAATCATTGGCGAAAAACTTTTACTTGAGAAATGTAAAGTAGAATTTTTTAAAAATAGATCCGTAAAGTATTTTGTCATCAATTGTCTTTCCTTTATAAATTAGATCGGAGACGGGTCACATCGGTATTTTTTTTCCAGTAACTTCTAATTCATCTCAACACATCCCAAAAAAGAGTTTCTAACTAATAACGAAACTATGTAACAAAGTGGCGGAAACAACGATAAAGTAGTACAAGTTTATACGGGATAGTTAGATATATCGATACCTTCTTACATCACTGAAAATAATGAACATGATGGTGAAGTTGTGCCTTGGACCAATTAAATAAACTTATTTTTTTTACCTAAAGGATGATTTTGTGGAAAGTATCCGCTACCTAGCAAGCTGACGCTGGACGTTCACTTCCACCCGGGGTCATTGTATAAATTGTTACTAATATATTAAGTTTTGTTTAAAGTTACAGCCTATATACGTCCCACTGCTGGGCACGGGCCTCCCCTTATTTCTGAGGGGAGGCCTGTGTCCAGGGTTTTAGGGCAAGGAAATGTTCGCCACGCGGCCCCAATGCGTGTTGGCGAACTTCACATGTCTTCGAAATTTTGTTTTGTTATTTCTCAGACATACAGGTTTCCTCACGATGTTTTCCTTTACCGCCGAGCACATGGGGTAGATCGGCACTTAAAATTGCAATTAATAATTTAATAGGTGTCAGCGAGGATCGAACCCGGGTTGCTCGCGTACTGTGAAATTTACAGCGAGTGCTAACCTGAGCTACCACGTCTCCCTGAACTACCATGGCTCCAATCTATAAAAAAGGATTTTTGTATAGATTGTTACTAATAAATAGATTTTGAAATCAACTTTTTTATAGGATTATTACAATGTAATTATATCATCATCATCATCATCATCATTACAGCCCTTCACAAGTCCACTACTAAACATAGGCCTCCCCCAAGAGATGCCATAAAGCACGGTCCTTAGCCACCTGCATCCATCGACTTCCTGCATGTCTTACCAGGTCGTCACTCCATCTAGTAGTGGGCCGCTCTACACTTCGCTTACTGGTACGAAGCTGCCACTCGAGAACTAGCAACAACTCGATTATATCAGCTGAAAGGTAATCAATTTAAGTTTGCAACTATTCAGTAGAATCCTTTTACTAATGGGCGAGTACACTTGTCTCTCGATATATGTCATACCTAACGTGACCATTTATTATTTTTGTCAAAGCGGGTTGCATTAAGCAAGCGGGGTACATATGGAGCTCAGTACAGGATTTATTTATATTTATTAAATGGCTTTCATTACTGTGACACTTAACTGAGTTTTATCACTAGTCCATATTTTGTTCACTTTCTACCGGCGCATTACTTCCTGGCAGACACATCATGTACTCAATAATTGTACAAAAGTTCGTTAAGTGAAGATAGTTGGCACGGAAGTGCTCGAATAATACAACTCTACGTTCTTCAGCGCAATATTCTCATTATTCCAGCCAGTGATTTTTTCATCGATCGCAAAGTTGGAAATAAGCGAAAACTCGTCAAAGACTTTCGTATCTTAGCTGCTGCTAATAAGCCCTTGCGTGATCAGCAAATCCATTACTTTTTGTACGTCACCCCAAGTAGGTGCTTTTGTTCAATTTGCCCTTTGAAACATTTATAGTTCTATGTTGAATTTACACCACTGCTTGTATTTAATATTCTGCTGGTCAACAGCAATTTCAGTTCCTTGTAATTTTACAAGTAGGCTACGGACGGTGTGATGAAGGAAAATCGTGCTCTCTTTGAGTGCCAGGTTATCTCAGAGACGATTAATTTCCTTCGCAGACTCTATTGCAGAGATGTTTCGCCCCTCAATTTTTCACACAGCTTCATGTAATGTCGCTGCTTCTGCGTACAAGAAATATAACTACAACTCTGATCTGGGAATTTCGAAAACATTTTTAAAATATTTGGGAATTTATCGATACTTAGAAAATAGCTTATTAAAGGCTGAAACATTTTTAGAACTTTCTCAAGCGCGGACATTAACGTAAACCACCTTGTTTTACTGTAAACCAGCAGTTTGTGATACTCTGTGTCAGTTGAATCACAAAACTCTTTCCAAGATTCGACACGAACACTGCAGATGTAGAAAAATGAAGTAAGGTCTTTTTGCAAAAGCGGGACCATTTTGTCTTCGCTGGGGACAGCAGGACAGACAGCCTGAAAGCGGGGCTGTCCCGCCCAAAGCGGGACGTATGGTCACGTGAGGCATACCTCAATTTCTTTACATAAAATCGTTCTTATACTTTTAGCTAGACATCAAAGCCATATTATTATGAACGTCTACAGACATTGAATTATAAGATTAGTTTATTTTCTAATTGATTCACTTTAGATTACATAAAAAAAATGTAATTGAAAAAATATATGGACTGCTGTCCGTTGGTCTGTGCGTCGGTGAGTCTTGTCGCTTAATAGAAATATAAGCAACATATTGAGATATATAGTAATAAGATTCAATATAGTCTTAGGAGGATCCTTTCTAATTTTTGTTATTGAACTCAACACCGTTTAAAAGTTATTAATGAAAGTCGATCAGATTCTCTGTTTTTTTTTTCTTGTATTATTAACGTCACAATTTTTATTTTTTTCATTTACATTAAATGAAACGCTCATGAGGCGTGCACTTTTGGGTTTTCCAAATGTTTGTATACTATTTGAACATTCTGCTTTTTTAACTTTTGTGAGTTAACTATTTATTGACTAATGGATCGCTAAATAGCCTTAACCTGCAATGAGTTGACAGTTTGTAGAATTGATAGTCGCATACCTAAACTTTGTGCAGAACTATACCTACTACCTATCTGCTAGATTTAGCGACGAAGTGATTTGAAACAGTGTTTAATTAAAAACATAATATTTGTTTTAGTTTAAGCGTAGGTTTAATATGGTGAACGTTGTCGTAAAGGCGGTGTTGAAATTAAGCTAAGACTACTAATAAAAATAACTACAATTCCACTAACCTCGTTGCCCTACGGCCTTCAGGGTATCGTTGCAAAAAAAACCCAGCTCCAATTATTTGGAACAAATAATAGAGATAGACACCACATTGTGTGACAAGAAGCAATGCATGTTCTAACGGCATAGCAGTTGTAGCTTGACGTAGCGAAAGTAGACGCATTCTTTGGATACACGCTCCTGAACCGATTGTCATCAGGACAAACAGAACTGTCTCCCATATATTAATCTATGAAAAATTGAAATTATTTTATAGGTCTAAGAAATTAGATACTGTAGGAGATATTTACTAGATATGTTTAAGATTTTCGAATTCTTACCTGTAGTAAAGCTAGTTCTATATGCTTGTCTTTTTGAAATAGTCCGTTAAATAACATTAAACTGACTATAGTGCCAGCGAGCACAGCTATTCCCATAAAAAGTCCCTTGTGGGCACTTCCACAGTCCACTGAGAAGTGATTGTTGGATTTCACCCTTGCGCAGCATTGCCGATCCTCTTTTCTAAGTCCTTTAGAAGACAGGTTCTTCAACGTTTTCTACAATTTATGATTTTGGAAATTTACATATTACTTTTCTCATGTCTTATATTTACGGTCTTATAAACTGATAAATAAAATTCGAATTTACAATGAGACCAAAAGGTGGCCAACCATAACAGATTATGCAGAATATTTCCGTAAAGTGATAGTAAGATTAAATGTAATAAGTAATACACACGCGCAGACGCACACAGACGCTCACACATACTCACACACGCACACCGATGCATACATGCATACGCCTATATACAACATGAGATCCCAGATTTGTTTCATTATACTGTTTACAATTGGTTCTCAAATAGACAATGCATTCGTTATGAATCTGAATGAAAATTTTAAATTTCATACCGATAACTTAATTTTAGTGTTATTTTATTCATTTCATTTTATTTAATACTAGATGCGCCCCGCGGTTTCACCCGCGTCATCACGTGTTGGAGGTGCGCGACATGACCTAGCTCAAGCATTTTATAATTTTTTTTTATAGGATAAGGATGACAAACGAGCACACAGTCCACCTGATGGTAAGTAGTTGCTGCGGCCCATAGACATCTACATCTATCCTCGTTTGCGATTCAAAATGCAGATGCGTTGTCACCCGTGAGGACTAAGATGGAATGCCACATTTCCAGTAAAAAGGGCCTCCGGCCACCTGCACTCACCAAGCGAAACGCAGAGATAAATCTCTACTTCACGCTGGTATTCTGTGAGGTCGTGGTACCACCCCGGTTCGAGGCGGCCCATCCGTGCGACAGCAAAAGCTGCCGCGTGGCTCTACCACTGTTGAAAATATTTTATTTGATAGCAATGGATGGAAAAATTGGTATAGTTAATGGAGTACTTTTATCTGTCGGCATATTATGTATAATGTAGAGCGAAGTTAAGTTTTATCCACTTTCCCTCCCCCTCCCGGTTGAGCAGTTCTCGCAGTTCTCACCGGGCGGCTAAGGTTATATGTCGTTCGCGCGCCCAGCCAAGTATTGAATTATTTTAATTTTACATTATCTCTTAAACTATGCGTCCAAATAACATGGTATAAAGAACAAAGTTTATCTTCATAAAATTGTCTTGATGATGAAGTATTTTTCGTTCATAAGGATAAATAAGCCATGCCTAATAATAACGCTCATAAATCACTTTATTAATTTTCAATATTTTTTTGTCATAAAATACCTAATTATGGGTTATGTATAAGAAATAGACATATGGTATCACGGACTTTTTTTTAGATGGAGTAAAGATCTATATTTTTCTAGAACATTGTATTTACGTATCCCTGACAATAACACCAGCGTACGCGGATAAATCATTTCGGGAGTGCTTTTTCTTCTGACTTGCTTAACAAATATCCATATTTTAGGCTAGTTGAGTGATATAGCTTAATGTTAGATAGCCTATACTATTCCACATAAATCTGGCTATAATATACAAAAATAATTTTTCAAATCGGACTGGTAGTTCCCGAGATTAGCGCGTTTAAACAAACAAAAAAACAAAAAACTCTTCCGCTTTATTATATTATATATATATATATAGTATAGACTAGCTGAGTCGATCGTGTAGTTACAGTGTATTAGTGGCGTAAGAATATTCAATACCTCATATCATCTCGTGGGTGTCGTAAGAGGCGACAGAGGGGAACAAATCAGCAGACGGGTAGCAACGCCTTCCTAACAACGACTAGAAATAAAAACAGCGGTTCCCAAATTCAGTGAAATTCCCTGCCGTAGTCTGTGTTTCCTGATAGCTTATAACGAGAATAGGTTACTTCTTGGCAAGCGTGCTCCATCGTCGATTGCATCATTGCTTACCATCAGGCGAGATACTGGTCAAACGCGAACCTACTCGTATCAATCATAATAATAATAATAATAATAAAGCGTAAGGAAGTGACGACCCCATCGCCCGCTGACGTAACAGTTAAGTGACAAAACTGCTACGTCCGCGCAGTCAGTCAGCGCCTTGCCAAGAGGTGTGAGCGCCGTGCCTCGGCAGTATTGAGGGTGCAAAGGCCCGTTTGTGCTTACGGCCACACTATTAAACGGCGCTGGACCTGGGCGTCTCCCGTTAATTGACGCCCATATTTATGGATGATGGATAAAATAGAACGCGCCTAGGGTCGCTGCCTGGGGGTCGCCGGGGTGCGTCTGGAGCTGACGCTGGACGCGACAGCATGCAGGCCGCCAGCCGAGCGTGAGGTGCTGCACGACCACCTAGCAGCACCTTGCATCCATCATCCCCACCAGACGGCTTGGTGTTGGCAGGGTACTCTCGGACTCGGCAAGCAGCACCAGCCGCTGGTGGAGTACGCCGCATGCGTTGGACAAAATATATGAACATAAACGCATTGAGGGCGTACTATAGGGTGAAAGGGGAAGATACTGGAGAGATAGCTTATTGGTCTCGGATGCATCGCTTTTTTGCTGAGCTAGAACCGTCTGTTCCCGTCACAGAGCAAAACCGAAGACCGAGTTCGGTACACCATACGCTCGAAAATATTTGATGATGCTGAACTCGAACGACTACGGCATGAGGCTATTCCCTCATCGAATATACCAGATATAGCTGGAGAGGCTCCTAAGGTAGACCAGCATCCATATGTGTAAGCCGCCATAGATCTTCCCGTTTTGGTTGATTCAGGTGATGATGGAATGGTCACCCAAGAACTAGAGCAGATGAGAAGTAAATTGGAGGAGGCGATTGTGGAAACGCGCTGTACGCGTCTCGAAAATCGACCGCGACTTCCCCGCATACCCCTAAGCAAGCGGAATCGGGCTGTCGTGAGGGCTCTCAACCCAATGCTGGTGACCTATTTGGAAGCCAGCCGGGATCTTTGCGAGACGGACTCAATTCTTTTTGGCACCGCACTGGCAGTTTGCCGTATTATTGGCGCCAAACTTCCCACGGCTGGACGCGTTACTAGAGAAAGTAGCGCCATCCCAGCCTGGAGAAGAAGGATTGAAGACCGTATCGCAGAAGCACGAGCCCTCATCGGCAGGCTGATAAGCTTCAGATCGGGCAATAATAGGCCGAGAATTGTGCGCACCGTTAGGATGGCGTTTGCTGGGACAAATATCAGTTTGTCCCAGCCGGATATAGAAGAGAATGGATGTAGGGGTGGTGGTCGTGGAACCAAGGAACCACTCCTCGTCATTGGCAAGGTGTAACCGTGCAACCGTCGGAACCTCTCCGCCGCCTGGATAGACTACAAAAAGGCATTCGACTCGGTGTCTCATACATGGCTTGAGAGGGTCCTCGAGCTGTACAATTTTTAACTGTACAATTCGAGACTTCCTCGGGTAGTATATGGGGCAGTGGAGTACGATCCTTTGTCATCTAAGCGAGCGGATGACGGCCGCGGAGAACCACATAAAGATAAGAAGGGGTATCTTCCAGGGCGATCGTTTGAGTCCAATCTGGTTCTGCCTCTCTCTGAACCCTCTCAGTACCTTACCGGAGGGTTTCGGGAGGGGATTTCAGATTCGGAGATGAGGTACAAAAGTGACTCACCTTTTCTATATGGATGATCTCAAATTATTCGCCTCCAGTCGCTCTCATCTTATGGAATTGCTAAACATCACTTGTGATTTTAGCAATTCTATTAGAATGGAGCTGGAGATGAATAAGTATGCAGTCCTCCATGTCGAAAAGGGAAGGGTTGCTAAATCTGAGGACATAGACTTGTCTATGCCCATCAACATAAAGACCCTATCCGAAGCTGCAACATACCGATACCTGGGTATGTCACAGAACATAGGTATCGATTAGGCAGACATGAGGCAGTCAGTTTGCGATGTGTTTTATGCACGCTTGACAAAAATGCTTAACAGTTTTTGTCGGGCGTTAATAAGACACAAGCATATAACGGTTGGATCATGCCAGTTCTCATGTATACATTTGGCATACCCAGTTGGACTCAGACCAAGCTGAATGCTCTGGATAGAAAAGTTCGCACTATTATGACGTCTTTTAAAGCGTGGCTTTTAAAGCGCGCTTACCATGCATAATCGCGAAGTGTGCAGCCTCCGTAATTACTTTCTGAGGAGAGCGGATGATCCATTCTATAGGGACGTTATTTCTTGTAATAAAGGACTTACCTCTCTATCCTTAGCCAACGAGCAATGGCAAGACCCGGCAGTACAGAGCATTTCCGACCGGAAGACCGTATGGAAGGAGAAGGAGCTCCATGGGAGGTTCTACAAGGCTCTACATGAACCTTTCGTAGACACAGATTCCTCCCTACACTGGCTACGTTTTGGTGACCTCCTCGGGGAAACCGAAGGTTTTGTCTATGCAATATAGGATCAGGTTATTAAGACCAACAACTATCGGAGATACATCCTAAGGGATGGCACCGTCGACATTTGTCGAACGACAAGCCATCCCGGTGAATCACTTAGGCATGTCATCTCCGGTTGTTCGGCGCTTTCTAACTCTGAGTACTTGCATAGGCACAACCTAGTAGCCAGGATTCTACACCAGGAGCTCGCTCTGAAATATGGTCTCGTGGATCGCAAACTGCCTTATTATAAGTACATACCGGAAGCCGTGCTCGAAAATGACCGCGCCAGGCTCTACTGAGACCGGGCCATCGTCACAGATAGGCCCATTCTTGCGAATAAGCCTGATATTGTGCTGATGGACCGGGCACAGTCAAGGATATTTTTGGTCGACATTACCATTCCGTACGACGAGAACCTCGTGAAAGCCGAAACAGATAAGCGAACAAAATGTCTGGACCTGGCTCACGAGGTGACCGACATGTGGGGTGGACTGCCGGCCAAAATTATACCTGTAGTCGTTTCTGCGAACGGGTTAATCCCAGTCAGCCTCTTGGGTCATCTGAGTCGGCTAGGACTCCGTGACGGACCGCTCCAAGCTCAAATGGAAAAGGCGGTGCTCCTCGATACCGCCCGCATCGTCCGCTGGTTTCTTTCCCTTTCCCCCTAACTCTCGGCCGTTTGGTCTCCCCTGCCGAGGGCTTCCATCTGGTT